GAGGTGCGGGAGCAACACCGAGGGTTGCGATCCCGTTGCCGGTCCCGGTCCGGTACGGGCGCGACACTGAGGGTTGCAATCCATTGCTGGTCACGAAAAAAAGACAAAAAAAGGAAAAAAAAAAAAAAGAATAACAGACCTTCAAAACTAAGTCCCTATAGGATAGAATGCTTAATCATTGATTTTTTAAAATCACTTTCACAACAATTTTGGTTATGTAAATATGAAGTGGATATTATTATTCTTTGGTTCCTACCAAAGCAAACAACTAATCCTAGAATCTACATGCTTGTAACTTTCTTTCTTTGCAATAAATAACTACATATTAAAACATCAGACTTTTTTTTTTTTGACTGGTAAGGGGATCGCAACCCTCGGCACAGTGTGGTCCGCACCATGCTCAGCCAGTGAGCGCACCAGCCATCCCTATATAGGATCCGAACCCATGACCTCAGCACTCCCAGCTCCGCACTCTCCCGAGTGAGCCACAGGGCCGGCCCAAAACGATCAGACTTTTGATAGTAAGTGGGAGAGTGGGTTAAACCCATGCCATTCCATGGGAATCTTCCCAGGGCAACCTGAGAAGCTGAGACCTAGCTGGCCTGGCTGGTCTGGACAAGCCAGCAGCCTCACCATAGAGACCACAGAGACAGGAGGAGATGGGAGGGATGTCCTTCTGTCTGATTCCCTTGTCAAGTCTGACAACTCTACTAGGGCTCTTTATGGTGATGGGTTCTATAGCAATATATGAACATGGCATCTTTCCACTGAAGACAGCATAGCAGTTTCAAATCTGATTCATGCTCAGCCTTTTTATCATGATAAACTGTTAATAACTACAGAGTTTGTTGCAATATATGAACATGGCATCTTTCCACTGAAGACAACATAGCAGTTACAAATCTGATTCATGCTCAGCCTTTTTATCATGATAAACTGTTAATAACTACAGAGTTTGTTCTCTATCAAGTAGGTATGGATGGTGGGCAGCCAAGTTTCCCTCAGTGACATTTGAAGAGCTATGCTGTGGCATGTGTGGCCAAACTGTAAAAGGAATGCCCTTCAGCCACAGCTGAAGGCAGGAAGCAAACCTAGTATTCAGATCCGCAATTGAACACTTTTCTGAGTAAGATGATCTCCTAAGGGGCTAGAGCCCTTTGCCCCTTTGTGCAACAAGAAACGGTGGATTCTGAGAGCAACCCAAGGTGACATTCAATAATGTCTTCTCAGAGATGAAAAGCTCCTTTTGGTCCTGCCTAGCAGAGCTATTTTCCTTGCGAATCTCCACAGTGCCACACTCCTGACCTGATCCCAGCCCTACAATGCATTTGCAGTGAATGTATTTCATGTGCCCTAAGATACACATTTTAAAACTTTTAACACTTCTCATATTGGTGCACACCTACAACAGATGGTGTCTTAAAATTAACTGGTAGTGCTTTTTGTGACTTAGCATTATACAAAAATAATGGTGTATCCTGCAATTAATTATCTTAGATGTGATTAAATATGGCTCTTGCAGTTCATTCGTGTATTTAGTGCTTTATTCTGTACATTATTATTCTGTGTAGAGGTTCTCAGAGGACAATTACCAGATGTGTACCATCCTCTTTTTAGTGCGCATCCAACATGGTCCTTCAATACCTCACGATGGTGGCGCTGCTGAGAGCTGAAAGCATTCACTACAAGTTGCTTGTGTCTCGTGGCTTCAGTGGCAGCCAGCTGATTCTGCTCTAAATGTCAATCTATTTAGCCATCCAACCAGAAAGAAAAGGCAATAGCAGCAGCCTCAATCCACTTTCCAAAGACTTCTTTCCAGCGCAACAATATATGCATCTTTTATTCATGGTATGTCACTTCTGCCTTATAATCTAGTTCAATTTAACAAACATCTTGACGTTCCTTTTAAAACTAATGTTCCAAATCTTTAACTTTTTTATTTGTAACACAGGAAATAATGGAAAAGGCTATACAGTCAAAGGATAATGCCTCAAGAACTGAATTAAGTGACCGTGTATTATGTAGAAACTCCCACAAATCAAGAGTTGCTGGTACCTGCAACAGCATTTGGCTTCCAATGCTGTTTTGAACTTTGGAAGAACAAACCTAGTGGCATGTCAGTAAAGAAGCACCACACCTGTGTCGGGGGACAGCTCATCCAGCAGCTTCACCATGCCTTCTCCTTGCTTGGAAGTCCACATCTTGATTGGGGACCCACCTCCAATCCTGCGGTACTGCTCTTGAATTCTGGGGGTTCGACGTTTGGCGATGAATGGTGCCAGTTTACTAAAACATGTAACATGTAGGCAAGTGGATTTTATACCACCTTAGCAACCTGGAAATATTTTCTACTCAATAAGAAAAGATAAGCAAAATTTTAAGAAGAGCCTAACAAGATTGAGCCTTTAAAAATAGAAGCTTGAGTCACTGACCATAGCCACCTCTTGGCATAGATTAGAGCTAAAGCTAGATACTCTCTGAGGAATATCCACTTGTGCTCCCCTAGCTGTTCTAGCAGCATACCCTGAAGGTTCAGGACACCCGACAACCTGGCAGAGAACCTTATCTGCCAGCTCCTATCTTAATATGTTTTGATTCTGCACCTAACAAGAACTAGGATATAAGACAAAGGAAGCATACATTCCTCTTAATTAAAAAAAAAGTATCTTAAGCCTATAGATATACTTGCATATGTGAGCAAAGATGTATGTACAAGAATGTTCATTCCAACACTGTAAACAACCTAAATGTCTGTCAGTGAAGCACGGGTTAAGTACATTAAGGTACAGCCATACAATGCAATTCTAAACAGTCATGCAAAAAATAAGCCAGATCTATATAATCTGCTATGAAATGAGATACGGTGTTAAGTTTTAGACAAAAATAGCTAAGTGCCAAGTAATGTGAGTATCCTCACATTTGTGTAACAAAGTGGGGGAGAAGATCTAAAGGTATGTATACATGCTTGGATATGCAGGGACTATTTCTGGATAGTGATAGTGCTTACCTCCGGGTGGGAACTGAGTTCAAGGTGAAAGGGACACTTGCTTTTTACTGTAAAAACTTTTATACTATTTGCATTTTTTACCATATGCATGTATTAATTCTTCATTAGGAAACCTATTTTTAAAGAAATAAGGGAAGAAGGAAGGAGGGAGGGAAGGCTGAAGGAAGAGTAGGAAGAGAGTGACAATCCATATTCACAGTACAAATGAATAATATCATCGTTTCCCTAAGTGTTAATCAGCCGTTAAGTGCCAAGTGCAAATATATCTTTAAAAATCTTTAAAGGCACTTCAGCTGTGTCAAGACAACTGCAATTTCCAGGGCTCTGGGGAGGAACAGGCTCAAGGAGAATCCTCACTAACTTGCTTTTTCTCTCTTCCCTGCAATTCTTCCAATATCATATCCTTCTGATATCCAACAGAAAGTAACCCTGCTGCCCTAACCACTAACAGACATGCTTTAAAACTGTTTATTTTTATGAAACTGTAGAGTTGAGATACACGTAAGGCAAAATGCATTGCATATGTTATTAAAAAGTACAGGTATGTATATTTATCTTACTTTTGAACAGGAAGTGTCATGAGGTCTCGGTCCAAGAAGAGCCTCAGAAGGAAGTCGTGAACTTCTCCCAGGGTTTCAGGGCCTCCCATATTCATCATTAATATTCCAGTTTTTGGCTTCCTATATCCAGTAAAATGCAACAGTTGACTTGTCACGCTTTTTATTCTCCTCTAAGGTAGAATCTTGGTTCAGTTAACAAACTCTTATCTGATCTGTTGGGTGCAAAGGTAAAAATCCACAGACCTTTCCACTGTCATTACATGGCCACCCATCTGGGAATGTATGAGACCTCCAGTTCTCCATGGTTCCAGCTCTGACTCTGACCTTCATCTCTTAGCTCCATCTGTGACATTTGTCTTCACTTGGCTTGAAATGTTTCTCTATTAAACTGTCAGTCCTGAACAAAGATCTAGTTCTTTAAGGACTGAGAGTCAAAGTAGAAATCTTAAATTGTCCTGAGGCTGAAGTACCTGTGCATGTGAATGTCTTACAAATACACAGGTTATATGACCTCTCCAAACATCAGGTTTCCTCATCTGTAAAACAGAGTCCACCACCTACCTCAAAAAGTTGTTTTGAGAATTCAGTGGTAATGTACTTAGTCACTTATCATGTCCTGGCATGCAGTAAGCTACATTATAGACAGAGAAAGGTTCCCCTATCATTTTAAATCTCCAAAGTTAAATACCAGCCCATCTCTTACTCTTTCATCTGCTCCCTTCTCTTTAGTCAATTATTAAATAAAATATTACTGACAAATTATTTCTTGCTACTTGGCTTCCTTCTCCACTGGCTGCCTTTGCTCCCTCAGTGTCCCCTACAATGACAAACCACATTTCTCGCTTTACACTGACCTCTCCAACCCTCGTGTAAATCCACTGCTCACCCTGCAAGAAATGGTGCTAACATTCAAATCAGTCCCAGGCTAAAGAATCAAGCAGTGAATGAGTAGAAGGCAAGAAGAAAGCAAAACTCCATAACAAAAGTTTCTAGTCAATCGGCTTCTGGGAAATTAAAAATGAAAGCACTATTCAAAAATGTACACATCTAAAATACAGAACAGCTCCAGGACGTACACAGCCCAAAGCGAGCCAGGCTAGCTCTCTACTCCTAACCTCGCCAGGGGCAAGGGGAAGCCCGAATGAAACCGAGTGACCCCACGTGCTTCTGGGAGCCACCGGAAGACGGTGACTAGAGACTTGGAATTAGAAGGTCAGAGTCTGAGCCGGGCCATGGAGATCCAAAGGTCTGTGTGTCCCACAAGCAGGCAGCATGTGATGGCAGTGACAGGGAAATTAAAGGACAAGGAATGTTTCTTCCATTCATTCTTTTGTTGCTATTGTTTTTGCATTTAAAAAAATTGAGATATAATTCACATACCATAAAATTCACCACTTAAAAACTGCACAATTCAGTGGTTTTTAATATATTCAGAAGGCTGTGAAACCATTTCAACTATCTAATTACAGGACATTTTCATCAACCCAAAAAGAATCCTGACATCCATTAAAACCTCTCCCCATTCCCTCTTCCCTCTCCCCTGGCAACCAGTAATCTATTTTCCAGGTCTATGAATTTGCCTATTCAGTATATTTCACAGCAATGGAATCACACAATTGTGTCTTCTTCACTTAGCATAAAATGTCAAGGTTCATCCAAGTTGTAGCATTAACCAGTATTTCGTTCCTTTATTACTAAATAATATTCCATTTTATGGCTATATCCTGCATTCACTCTTGATAAAACAGCTGAGAAATAACCAGCCTGAAATTTATCTAAAACACCATCATTACAAACGTTGAGGGGTCATTTCCTAAATCTCCTACATCAGACCACCTCTGGCTACCACAATGACTAAACCAACCTTACTGAGCTGGTTCTCACTTACCATCCTTAATGTGTTCTAAAACTAATGATATTATGATTAATTGGCAACTTCTAAACAACTGTTAACATTTGGCAATAATTTTAGGCAGCAGGCTGTGCCAAATATGTGGAAATTTTCTTGATCAAACACACCATAGGTTCATTCACTGTAGACAAATGAGGTAGAAATCTGAATTCTCAACCTAAACTTTCAGAATAAGAACCAATTCCCAGGGAAGGGAAAATGCTGCATAACAATGAAGTCAGGGATTTTCTAATTTAGACCCCATTATAAAGATTAACTAAAATCACTTTCACATCATTGTCTTGACCAGAGTTTCTCAGCCTCAGCACTTCTGACATTTTCGGCTGGACAATACTTTGTTACAGAGGACTGTCCTGTGCAATACAGTATGTTTAGTAGCATCCCTGGCCTTTAGTAGCATCCCTGGCCTTTGGCTACTAGATGGCAATAGCACACACTCCACTCCAGTTGTGACAACCAAAAATGTCTCCAGACATTGCCAAATTTGTCCCCAGGGGCAAAAATGCCTCCACCCCATTGAGAACCACTGTCTTAGAGAAAGAGGGTTTAATTCCCTTTTTAGTAAACCAAGTCACTACATTAAAAATGTCATTATTATATAATTTTTCCACAGAGAAATCCTACCACTACCATAACAGTGGTATTTGGTTTTCTTTCCTTGATATCTGAAATTTTCAGATGCATTATTCTGTGAGACTGTAATATTCCCTTAATCTTTCTATTTAGATCACCAGCCTTCTCCTGGGATCCTGTCTTTCACCCTCAAAATCTGTGACACACAATAAATTAAGTGCATTTTCCCATGGATTGCTGCCAGTTAACAGATTACTGGTTAAGAAACCCCAGGCTAAAAGACTTACCTAAGCCACAGAGGGTATCAATGTGCAAACGGGATTTAGAACTGTGTCTTCATCTTAACACCTGTGCTCAGAACAAGAGTGGCTTTAAAGGGATGTTACCCTGCCCTACTCAGGGTTTTGCAAACCCATGTTGATCTTACACATGAAAGCGACGCACAGGATTTGAAAATGCCTAAATGTGCATGCACTTAATTCAAAACTGTGTTGTGCATGACAAATGGGGCATTAGTAAGCCCTAGTCCGATCCCCCTCTATTCCACAATGTGAAGTGCAAAGCTTTAGTCAAGGGCCTCTGTCTCCTCTCCCCTCCAGACAGAGCACACCTGAGACCACGGTCTGAATAGTCGTGTTCCCTTTGTTTGAACGTAAAAATGTATACAACACAACTTATTTAAAACTTCTCACTTGAAATAGTTTCAACATTTTGCAATTTTTATATTCTGGTACTCTCAAAATAGGAGGTTTTCCATTTGAAGAATTAAATGTACATAATGGAAACTTAAGTTCATCAATTAATAAAGAAACAGTAATTCTATTCTACTGTATATAGTCAGCATCAAGAAGAAAAATTCCAGCTATTCATTAAACCTACCAGACATAATTGGCCTATGGAACAGAGTTAGGCAAACTACAGCCCATGCACCAAATCTGCACACACACCCACCCACTGCTGTTTTTGTAAATAAAATTTTATTGAACACAGCCATGCTTATTTGTTTATGCATTATCTATGGCTGCTCTCACATTACAACAGCAGAGTGGAATAGCATCAAAAGAGACGGTATGGCCTACAAAGCCTAAAAAATTCACTACCTAACACTTTACAGCACAAGTGCGTCGACGTGCGGTCTAGTCTAGTGTTTAGTCTAGTATTCTGGTTAGTCCAGTCTAAGCATGAAGCAGCCCAATGCCTGTATAATGTCTGGCATCAGAATGATCCACAACAAAATTAATTTTAAAAAAAGGAAAAAAGAAAGAAAAAAAGAATCATCTATAAAGACATTCAATGCTTCACCATTTCTAATACTGAAAAACTAGAAATAATCTACATGCCCCATAATATGGGACTAGATAAATAACTTATAATTTAATAAAATACACTTAAGTTATTAAAACAATGTAGAAGACTATATTTATATGCTGACATATTATGAAATAAAAGAGGAAGTTATAAAACAATGTGCACAGTATTGTCATATTTTGGTAAATACAAGGGCACTTCAAAAAGCTTGTGGAGGGCCAGCCCGGTGGTGCACTGGAGAGTGCGCCGCTTGGGAGCGTGGCGGCGCTCCCGCTGAGTGTTCGGATCCCATGTGGAGACCGGTTCCCGCTCACTGGCTGAGCGCGGTGCGGGCGTAACACCGAGGGTTGCGATCCCGTTGCCGGTCCCCGGTACGGGCGCGACACTGAGTGTTGCAATCCCGTTACCGGTCAGTAAAAAAGACAAAAAGGAAAAAAAAAAAAAAAAAACTTGTGGAGAAACAGAATTATAAGATAATATGAATCTGGGCTGTCCCATAGCTCACTTGGGAGAGTGTGGTCCTGATAACACCAAGCCAAGGGTTCGGATCCCTATATAGGGATGGCCATTTAGGTCACTTGGAGAGCGTGGTGCTGACAACACCAAGTCAAGGGTTAAGATCCCCTTATCATCGGGGCCCACCCAGAGACCTGGGGCATGGAGAAAGGGACCAGACCGCCCTCCCTCAAGCAGGCACACTGTGCCAGCACCTTGAGGCCTGCCCCGGGTCCCGAAGCATGGAGAAGGGGACTGGACCTCTCTCCCACAACCAGGCACACCGTGCCAGTGCCTCAGGGCCCACCTAGTGACCTGAGGCAAGGAGAAGGGGACTGTACCTCTCTCCCACAACCAGGCACACCATGCCAGTGCCTCGGGGCATGACCAGGGACCCGGGGCATGGAGAAGGGGACCGGACCGCCCTCCCATAATCAGGCACACTATGCCAGTGCCTCAGGGCCCATCCAGGGCATGGAGACGGGGACTGGACCCTCCTCCCACAACCAAGCATGCCATGCCAATGCCTCAGGGCCCACCGAGAGTCCCCAGTCATGGAGAAGGGGACCCGACCACCCTCCCTCAACCAGGCACACCGTGCCAGCACCTCGGGGCCTGCTCAGGGACCTTGGGCGTGGAGAAAGGGACTGGACCTCCCTCCCCCAACCAGGCACACCAAACCAGCTCCTTGGGTCTCACCTGGTGACCTGAGGCATGTAGAAGGAGACTGGACACACCTCCCACAACCTGGCACATGGCACCAGCGACTTGGGGCCTGCCCACAGACCAGAGACATGGAGAAGGGAACCAGACACACCCCACAACCAGGCATACCACCAATACCAAGGAGCATACCAGAAACAGCACCTCCGTGTACGTGGCCCACTGCAGCCTCCACAATAACCATGGCTGCCGCGAAAGCAACTAGACACCACAAGCACCACGCAAATGGTCCACCAGCCACTGGAGTGCATTCACACAAGGAGAGTCACCAGCAGAGTCAAAGAAACAAAGAGGATGTCTCTCTCCACAAAGCCCATTTCAGAGTAACAGAATCAGCATCTGCTCTATGATAATATTGGAGGACCCGATCACATCTCTCAGCATTGGAAAGATCACCTAGGCAACAAATTAACAGAGTAACCATGATTCTTTCAGGAGAGAAGAAATCTAGGGTAATTAGAGGGGGGAGGGGGAGGGAATGGGGGATGGGGAGAGATTGGACAAGGGGCATAAAGATTAATTATGGTTTGTAACAATACATATGCTAGTAATACTGATGTGATCAACATATCTCAGTGTTCAACCTCCAAAATATGTATAATCGATTTTGATTCAATAAATAAAATAAATTTTAAAAAAAGATCCCCTCGGGCCGGCCTGTGGCTCACTCAGTAGAGTGCGGTGCTGATAACACCAAGGCCACGGGTTCGGATCCTATATAGGGATGGCCGGTTGCTCACTGGGTGAGTGTGGTGCTGACAACACCAAGCCAAGGGTTGAGATCCCCTTACCGGTCATCTTTTTAAAAAAAAAAAAAAAAGATCCCCTTACCAGTCATCTTTTTAATAAATAAATAAATAAATAAATAAATAAATAAAATGAATCTTTCCACGAACTTTTCAAAGTATACTAAGTAACTTTTCAATATACTAAGTAACTAAGTAACTATTAATAGGTATAGATATAGAGACAAAATACTGATGGATGAGATTATCAGTGATTTTGTCTTTTTTTTTGCCTGTGCGTATTTTGCAAAATGAACCCATTTCTTTTGTATAAATATGCTATAAAGTCACTTAACAGAATCTGAGTTTTTTCTAGATTTTTATTTAATTTTAATAATTTAATACTAAAGCTATTTACATTAACTTTTGCCACTAGGAAAATATAGTAATGAAATAATTATTCTTCCAGGGTTCCACATTTAACCAGTTCTGCAGTTTACACCAAATGCTTATTCCGACCCCTAAGTACTTGTGGCTGAGGTGAGAAGAGGGACGGTGGGGGTGACAAGGAGCAGTGCCCTGCTTGGCACACTGCCAGCCGGAGAGGCTGTCTGGGCTTCCTACTTCCTCACTAATTCCACCTTTTAGGAAAGAGAGCTGAGAGGAGATGGTTTGGGCCCCACCCCTAATGCCCTATCCCCAACAAACCTCAGTTTACTTAGCACTCAATCAACATACCCAGGATCACACAGTGAAAAATAACAAACACAAAATAAAAATATCTTCCTAGCTGTATAACTTTCACAGAACAATGTCTGGTCTAGCAGAAAGGTCAAGGGGTTAAATGGGTCACAGCTACTCTCACTCTGCCTGGTGTTAAAAAGTGCTGTTTCTACATACTCATAACTTCTCTTTACAAAGTCTTCTGCTGCCTCTGTACAGAGGAGGACTTGTAACCAGCTGAGGTTGCTGTTACTGGAGAGGACACAGCAACAAGGCCATGCCTGCTGTCACCCACCACAAACCAAGTGAGGTATGTATGACACATGGACTTTCTTTAATAAATTATAAATCACATGATGTCATTTATGATTATGTTCACTGTGATCACAGATGAAAAACAAAGGTAGAGTTTTCTATAGAAATTCCTGGTACATGAGTTAGTCTTTATCCTCTACCGGACATACATTTCACAGGCATAATTATGTTAGGTTCCTAAATACATTTCCAGCATACATATAATTTGTGTTCTATGACATATTCCAGAACCAAATTCTTATATGATTTGCAGACTGTTTGTACTCAACTATAAGTCCTTTAACCAATGCCCTGCTGAATGGAGGGGGTGTGTGGGGAAGGGGGGTAAAATCTGTAGTTTAACAAGCTGTTGAAAAGCAGCTAAGAAAATAACACACTACTCCTTACGTGTTGGGTTTTCCCAGCACCTCTCCTCATAGGTAGCTTGTATCTACTGGTGTTTGCATAAATAAAGAGAAATCCTCATTCGTACCTAATACTAGACTCACCTCTTCTCCAGGTGGACTTGAGGTTCTGCACTTCTGGCACGTTGGGCTGTTTCGGCGGCCGCTGCTGCATCTGACTTGCACCTCCATGGCTGATGGGCCGCGCTGCCCGGCACCACTACGACAAAATCAAAGTGCTGGCATGAAATTAAGCTGGAAAGTAATTTCTTTTGAAGAGGTCCTCAGCGCATAATTCCTGGCTTGAAAATTTAAAAAGACGCTCTAGCAGAGGTGATTTTTCTAGCATTTCTCTGCAAGCAGGTGAAGGCCCTTTAGGACTCTCCAAGAGGACCAGGGTGGAGGTTCACTCCCCTAAGATGGCTAATGAGGACCTGCAGGGAGGCGTTTTAGAAGCTACACATACCTCCTCTCTCTGCTTTAGCAGTGGATTTTGCTATGATCCCTCAGGAGAACCACTGCACATTATGAACGAACATTACTGACAGCAGTATGCTGCTCAGATGAAGGGCGAGGAGCCTGCAGAATGGGTGAAGAGCCACTGATTTAGGGAGTGGAAAATGGACCAATTTTCAACCAGCAGCAGATCTCATTTCTGCCTACAAGCCTTTTCCAGTAAAGCACCTGTGCTAAGAACCCAGCAGTGCCCTTGGACCCTGACAAGGGGGACCTCTGCTTTAGAGGACCCTCTCTGGCCCTTCTCCCACTGCATCCTACCTCATGGGGTGTGCAGTCTATGAGACCAAGGAGATATGCCTCCCCCAGAGTCCACATCCCACATGCCAGGTCAGGCTCCAGGAACCAGGACCCCAGAAAGCCCCACACCCACTGCCAGGATCTGTACAGGCATACTTCCTGGATCCATCCTCCTGAAGGCAGATCGTGCCATCAGTGTAACCAATTCTTGATCTGAAGGGTAGCCAAAGGGTGGCTGTTTACTGGGGCAGGAATGGAGCTGGGACATGCAGACTAGAGTGTCCACATATGTGTGGGCACAAGACTTCACAATGCAGGAAAAAGCCTGCTGGTCAGAGACAACTCTCCCAAGGTCTCCACATTTCTGCAGAAGCTCTGGAGACTTTGAGAGCTTACCCTTTCAGGTCACTATGATGGTCTATATGTCAGTGTAGGAGCACAGAACATATTTCACAGTTTGTTAGCTTGCTATCCCACATATGATATATGTCGTCCACGTATACTCTTGTCCTGGTCTCCACAAGAGTTAGTGGCAGCCTGGAGAACCCACCTGAATTGAGGAGTCCATGTGCCATACTCAGTTGTAGTATGAAAAGTGTTGGTCCTTAAACATACAGTAAAATTAAATTGAAGCCATATAGTAGGTATTAAAGATGGCAGTGTGAGACAGTGGTTACTACCATGCCCCTTGCTGTACACACAACCTCCTTCCCCATCCTCAAACCCACAGCTTAGAAACCAGATTGAGACCAGTCTCCTCCTGCCCTCTCCTACTGGGAGGCAAAGGTATCCTGGTGAGGAATTCAGGCTATGGACCAAACAGATATGACTGAATCCAGCTCTGCCATTTAGCAGCAATATGATCTGGGGCTGGGTTATAATCTTTCTGAGCCTTAGTTTCCCCAGCTGTAAAATGATGACACTTTGTTATCAGGATTCTTGTGAGGATTAAAGCAGTTAAGACAAGAGAAGCACTCTGTGGTGTCTACCAAGTGATTAGTGCTAGCATTAGTTTCATGTGTAAATTTCTAGAGGCTAGGGGCTACACCCGCTCTGAATTCTTTTTATCACCAACATGTCCATATGAGTTAAATACAGGAGAATGGTATCTCCAGGCCACTTGTATTTCTAACTATCCTGATTGTCCACAAGCCTTATGCTGAACAATCCCAACTAACTCAAAGTGGAAGTACAAATACTGACACAAAGAAGTTCAATTCCACTCAGATGAAGTCTCAAACCAACTAACGTCTTATTTTAGACAAATTTAATTCTGAACTACATGATGAGATTTAGCCAGGTTCTTAATCATGCTACAATGTCCCCAATCCTTATATGAATGAGATTATATCAGATTCCATGAGTATGAGAATAGAATTTTGGCATTCCATAATTTGACTTCTGGTGATAAAATAAAATTTCTTATTCAATCAAAAAAAAAAAAAAAAAAGGACAGGGGAGGAAGTTGGGGTGGGACTAGATTTGCCAATGTACTAGTACATTAGGATTTCCTAGCACAATTTGGGAGCTGGTAGTTTCTCACATTGCTTAACTATTGCCATCCTGTCTATTTACAAAATTCTCTTCTCTGTGATTGATCAAATTCTGAGAGGATGATGCTGCTAAAATGAGGTCCTTTCTGCTCAGGATTTAGGGTTAATACCCTCTCCCCTCAAGAACTTCTCTAAAGCACTCCCCTCCTCTAATGATCTGAAGGTTCTAGAGAAAAGAAGAATGTCTCTTACCAAGTGATTAGTGTTTGTCCAGTTAAAAGAATTTAAAGTAATCATTCAAACAAACCAACTGAGACTCCTGAATAGACTCAGCTCATAGGTGAAGGGAATGTGAAGGCACAGGTGGCATTGTGTAGTCCACATAGACCGTATGTGTTCTGCAGCCAGAGAGATCTGAGCAGAAATTCTGCAAAAGATCAACAAGCGTGGGCAACTCACTGAGCTACTGTGAGTCTCATTTTTCTCATCTGTAAAACGCTGATAAGGCCAACAGGCCTTGCAGGGCTGTTGTGAAGATTAGGGGGAAAAACTTGATGTCATCCAGCCCCAAGAACAGTGCCTGGCACATTGCATGTGGTGACTTGCCCCCTTCTAAATTAAGACCAGGGAATTCTGCCCCACATCCTTACATGGACAGCTGGTCTACCTTTGGAAGGCCTACAACAGGAACAGCTATCAAATTGAGGGATATGCAGAAGAGAAGAAGATGATGTAAGAAAACAAAACTTAACACCTGGACAAACCCAACAGGTGAATGATTCAAAAGTATATCTGTGACTTAAGAAGTTCATGGGTATCAACTCTTTCTTCAAAACCAAATTATTTTAATATTTTAGATGTTTGGGCATGGGTAGAGGAGGGTAGAAGGCAAGGTTCAAAAAGTACTTAAGGGCTGACCCCGTGGCGCACTCAGGAGAGTGCGGCGCTGGGAGCGCAGCGTCGCTCCCGCCGCAGGTTCAGATCCTATATAGGAATGGCCTGTGCGCTCACTGGCTGAGCACGGTGTGGGCGACACCAAGCCAAGGGTTGCGATCCCCTTACCGGTCACGAAAAAGACAAAAAAAAAAAAAAAAGTACTTAAATATATAATAAGTCCCTTTTCTATCACATAGGAGATGAGAATTATTTCAAAAGGTACTTATAAAAATATGTACCATTTAAAGGGCCGGCCCTGTGGCTCACTTGGGAGAGTGTGGCGCTGATAACACTAAGGCCACAGGTTCGGATCCCTATATAGGGATGGCCGGTTAACTCACTTGGAAAGCGTGGTGCTGACAACATCAAGTCAGGGGTTAAGATCCCCTTACTGGTCATCTATTAAAAAATAAAAAATAAAAAAATAAAAGATTATCAATAGAAATAAGGTTCTATATTGTGACTACTAATAAATACTGGGCAGGGGCTGTGTAAAAAAAATTGTTATTTTCCGGTGTGGAGCCAAAATATTATTTTATTTAAATGCAGGAACTCTTACTTATTATCCTAGAAATTATTTCTCTAATTATGAAAGACATTTATGTTCAGTCTAAAAACATTTGGAAAGAAAAAGGCACAAAGATAAACAACAATTCACACACACACACACACACACACACATATGTAGTGTATGGCCCATCCCAGGAAGCTTCTTATTAATTCTGTAATATGCTAAGAACATAGAGTATAAAACTTTGCTTTTCCACTTTGACTTTCAGAATCCATCTTCAGAAATACTCCTAGGGCCGGCCCGGTGGCGCACTGGATAGTGCGCCGCTTGGGAAGCGCAGCGGCCCTCCCGTCCGAGGGTTCGGATCCCATATACAGACCGGTTCCCGCTCACTGGCTGAGCGAGGCATGGGGGCGACGCTGAGGGTTGCAATCCCGTTGCCGGTCCCCGGCCCGGTGCGGGGGCAACACTGAGGGTTGCGATCCGTTGCCGGACACGGAAAAAAGACAAAAGACAAAAAAAAAAAAAAAGAAATACTCCTCAATTTTTCCTAACCCAGATAATATTAATTCTTTCCTATCAACCATAATGATTAAAGTATTATAAATACACCTTAAAATCAGAGTTCGTAATACAAGACTTCAAATCTACTTCTGCGATGGTTTCTGAATCCTTCTACTTAGTTACTTTTAACCTAGACAAAAAAATCAACAAATAATTTAAAGTTTCTCATACTGTTCCATGACCTCAAATCTAGAGCTGTCAGTCTTTATTTGCCACAGAAAAGGTCGGTGAAAGAAAAGATTAATTTAGTACTTCTTTCAGCTCCATTACTGGCACTGTGCTGCCTCTTCTTAAAAGAATGCCTTTTGTTTCCCAGTGCCCCTAGTGAGCTGATCTTCATTGTACATCGGATCCTTACTATTTTCCTAACAAAGACACCTTTAACAAGATATGGAGGTTCTGAGTGGATTCTCTCCATGCCCTTTTAAGTAGGTGCCAGACTGATGAATTAGGGAACTTCTTAGAAAAATAAGAAAAAATAATCAGATCTGTGTCCGGTCACTTCAAATGCATTAAATAATAATATTTATAAATACTAATAATAATATTTGTGGCAGCCTTTTTACTTTAATAACTGGGAACATTGAGGGTCTCTGTGTCCCTACTGTGTGACAGGCGCTGTGCTACGGGCTTCCCCTGTATCCTGCTAATCTCCATGGCAAGCCTATTATTTTTCTCTCTTTACTTTTACCAAAGCTCAAGCGAGGTTGGGTGCCTTGCTCAAGGTGTCACAGGGGTGTCTGATCCAGAGTTCCATAAGCTCATCCTGTGGACACAACCTATATTCATGGTTTGCATTCACGCGTGAAGTTGTTAATGGGTCTCGTTTGTTCTCCAAATATCTCTAGAAAACGCTCGCCCGGGCTGCCCTGCGGTTGTCCTGCTCCCAAAAAGTGAGCACGGAGTGATGCCGTGGGCTAGGGCACAGCAGCAGTGGGCGCCCTGTGAACTCCATCAGCAGGGAGGGAACCGCAGGACAGATGCCCATGGTAACATACCTTCCCTCCCGTGATCCCCACAACAATCTTGTAATTACAGATGACAATAACTAAGGCTCCGAGAAATTGAGCCACTGCTCACGGCCCAGCTGTGATCCCGCGCCTCCCGGTGCCCTCAGATGCCCTATGTGGTCCCCTCGCTCCTCCCATGGGACGGCCCGTTCCGGTCCCTTCGCCGCGACGCCCCTCGCCCCATGGCGCGCAGCCCACCGCAGTCCCGGAAGCCCCCAGCCCGGGGCTCCCCGGCGAGGGCTGCCCGCTGCCCCTGCGCCGCAGTGACCCCGGCCTCGGCGGTGGCCGCGACAGCCCCACTTACGCCGATCGCGGAGCAGGGCGCCCGCAGTTCGCAGGGCCGCAGCCATGTTTGTGCGAACTGAAAGCATTCCCGGGACAGCGTCGGCCGAGACCTGGGTTCCCACCGCGGCGGCGCGCTCAGGTGTCTCTGCCGGGACAGCGCCGAGCCAGAGGACGCTCGAAGCCCCAAGCCGCCCGATCTCGCGCAGCGGCCGCCGGAGCCCTGGAGGCACGCCCGCTCATTGGCCGCCGGCCCGGGGCGGGACCTCGGGGGCGTGGCCAGATGAAGACACGCCCTTCGCGGAGACCCCGCCCCGGGCCCGCCCTTGCGCCCTAGCGGCGCGCTCGCTCATTCGCTGCCAGGGTGGGGCGTGGTCTAGAGGGCGGGCCAAGATGAGACACGCCCCTCACGGAGAGCCCGCCCCGGCTAGAAGCCGCTCCCTCCATGACAAGGGCCGAGCTGGTGGCCCCCTCTCCACTGTCACCCCAGGTCAGTACACTAAAGCTCCTGGTTGCTCTGGATAGATGCCCTGGTTGCATCCGCCAACCTGGCCAGGGCAGGAACGGCAACCATGACTCAGCAAAGGACTTTCTAGACATTTCCATTATTGTTACTTAAATAGGATGTTTTTTCCTCAGTTCTCCAGTTTGCCTGCCTAGTCACAGCACAACTGTACAGACGCTGTTTTGTGTTGCGTTGCTTTCAAAATAGAAAAAGGGAGCTGGCCAGTTAGTTCATTTGTTTAGAGCGCAGCCTTATGACACCAAGGTCACGGGTTTGGTTCCCCATGCTGGCCAGCCGCCAAAAGAAAAAGCAGAATAGAAAAAGGGATTATTTTATATTAGACACTCATGCAATTATTCAGTTTCTCTGCAGCGCCTCTATGTAGCAGAGTTTGATTATATGTAGCAGAGTTTGATTATACTACTAACGTGAGCGCATTAGGAAAAGTGAAGGCCAGCCTGGCAAATGCATTTCTTGGAGAGATGGTGTGGCGAGGTTTGTAGTAGCATATAGATGCACCTTCCCAATTTAGCCGCCCGCCCCCAACCTCGTACAAGGAGGCCTCCGGGAGGGGACAGGAGTGCCCTCTTGTTTCTAGCCATTCCTACACTCCTACACCTCCGCCAGCCCACTGCCCATATATGTTCAGTGCTTCGTGGAGTAGACTAGCCCATGGTACGGAAAGGTCTTAGGCATCATTCATTCAGTTAACAAATATTGAGCACTTACTGTGTGCACTGGGAAAACAACAGTGAACAGAGCAGACAAGGGGCTTACATGGGGGTCAGGGGAGACACAGAAAATAATCACGATGTGTAGTACTTTGGACAATGAATTTGTTAGAGAGAAGAATGAAGCAAGAAGGTAAGGGAGTTGGGTTTGGGGAGCGAGGTGCTGATGCAATTTGAAACAGTTGGGTCAGAGAAGTCCTCACTGACATTTGGGCAAAGGCCTAAAGAAGGAAGGGGGCAAGCTGTGTGGAACATTCAGGAAAGGCGGAGTCCAGATTGATATGAAATCAAGTTTTCTGTAGGTAAAATTTGTGCTCTTGATTGAATTAGTTTATTTATTATTAAAGTTTGTCCTTCTTATAGCTATAACTCAAATGTAAAATGTCAAATTAAATGAACTGCCTTTCGTATTACCTAGATGATCTTCAAATCCAAGCAGGAAATGTTCCCTGAGAAAGTGATAGTAAAACTTGCTCCAAGTCTTAAACTGCCTTCCTATACATTTTGCTAATTCTCTACTCTGATAACCAAAATTATATGTTTTAAGTTGACCTTTAAGCAAGTGATCTTTATGGATAATATATTCTCCACCTAATGCCTAAATCCATTCCTTCTAAATAAACTACATAAAAAAGGCTCCACATTTTGAAATTCTGTCCTGGAAGAAGTGTAGACAAAGCCAGAGAATTAGAAAAGGCCAGGGGTTTTAGATGTCTCAGCTATGTAGGCTCTTCTGGGTCACCTCTGGGAAGCCCTGGATAAGCCACGCCTTCCATCCTGGGTGCTGCCCTCCTGCAAGGTGGAGATAACAGGAGCTGCTGGCCCCTCCCAGGGAAACACTGATGGTTAGTGACAAGGCATAAAGATGCCAAATCTCACTAGTACAAAATTAACAGTTAAAACTGTTAAATTTGTATCTGACCAGGAAGAAGAAAGGAACTAGCAAAACATGCTTTATTATTTATTTGTTTGTTTGTTTGTTTGTTTTGTGACGGCTGGCCAGTACAGGGATGGAACCCTGAGCAAACCGGCCAGCCCCATGCTGTGTTAAGTATATGAACATAATAACATTTTAAAAAATGAATCTGCACCATTTCATTCATTTTATTTGCACCTTGTACTTTTTTTGTTGTTGTTGTTGTTAGCTGGCCAGTGCAGGGATCTGAACCCTTGACCTTGGTGTTATCAGCACCATGCTCTAACCAAGTGAGCTAACTAGCCGGCCCTGTACTTTCAGTTTTACCGACTTTTAAAATCTCATCCAAAATTCCTCTTGTATAAAACCTCCTCATGCACATATTAAGGTTATAAGTGAAACAGAACTTCATTATTTTTCCCCAACAGAGAGTACCATAACATTGTTATTTCTACTCTATGGCTTATTTCTTACAAATATGAAATATAACAGCTTTCCAACAAGTAAATCTTTATGTTCTTATGAAATGAAAGTAGGTAAAATGGGGCCGGCCCGTGGCTCACTCGGGAGAGTGAGGTGCTGATAACACCAAGGCCACGGGTTCGGATCCCATATAGGGATGGCCAGTTAGCTCATTGGGTGAGCGTGGTGTTGACAACACCAAGTCAAGGGTTAAGATCCCCTTACCGGTCATCTTTTAAAAAAGAAAAAAAGAAAGTAGGTAAAATGTGTTTTATATTGGTCCATTTCAAAACCTATAGAAAACACAGTTCTTAACCCAGAAATTGGGAACTCTAAATATAAGTATACCAGAAAAACCCTTGAAAGGCTAAAGAAATTTGCAGAACTGTATGATTTATATATATAAATGCATTTTTTCTGGCTTATGTATTTTTAACAAAATTATATACCAATTCCATTAGCAAACAGAAGGCTAAAAAGGCACCATCTCTGGGCCAACTCAGATAAGCGACACCCCCACCACGAGGGAGAGGGTTTGTCTGAGCCAGGGTGACTTAATTAGTGAATAAAGCCCTCACCTGTCAGACAAACTGAGTTCAGCCCCGTTGCCCTCAATGAAACGAACTTGTTGGTTTCGGCTCAATGCTTCAGGGAGGAGGGGGAGAATGCCCTAACTTATTATTTGCTGTGATTGTCACCTCTGAGCTACACAAACTAGATTTAGATTACTCAACTCTGTCTGCTTAATCAGAAAAAGAACAAGGGGAGGGGGAGCTGAAGGGGGATTCAGTGCAAGAGAAACAGTGGCTGTGTGTGACAAATAGCAAGCTATAATGATTACTCAGAGAAATCTGATCGATTGTCCCCACATCCATTTTACAAGACCACCAAATCCAGGCCAACATGACATGCATTTTGACTTACCTTCTTAACCATGCAGAGCCTCAAGCCCACTGGTGGTGACGGGCTTATTAATCCATCTCCACATAGTCACCGTCTACTATGTGCGAAGTGGTATATCAGGTAATGTGGAGGATAAAAGAGTGAAAGAGTGGAAAAGTAAATTGTACTCTCAAGTAGCTCATTTGTTTATGAAACAAACATGTGCAGAGTCCACTCTATGTCAGGCACATGACAGGCACTGGGCATACAGCAATGAACTGGACGGTTTCTACTCTCATGGAGTATACGTTCTAAAAGGCAAGGCAGACAATAAGCACAAGAAATAAAACATAATGTCAGGTATGGCTGGGACCATGAAGAGAAATAAAGGAGGCGAAGGAATGAAGAGAAGCCAGAACTGCTGGTTTTGGTGGTGCGGTCAGACATGAGCTCTCTGCAAAGGCGACATCTAGCAGTGACCTTCTGGGAGTGACAGAGGTTGTCTGGGGAAGGGCTTTGTGAGCAGAGGGACCAGCAAGTGCTGGAACACATTTGAGGCTTGTATTAGTTTCCTAGGTGTGCTGTAACAAAGTACCACAAACCACATATAGAAGTGTGTTGTCCAGTTCTGAAGGCTAGCGGTCCAAAATCAAGGTGCTAGCAGGGCCATGATCCCTCTGAACCCTGTAGGAGAGGATCCTTCCTTGTCTCCTCCAGCTTCTGGTGGGGGCTGCAAGCCTCGGCGCTCCCTGGCTTGCATAGCATCAATCCATCTTACCTCCATCCGCACATGCTGTCTTCCCCTTATGAGACACCAGTCATATTGGACCCTAATGATCTCATCTTAACTTGATTCCATCTGCAAAGACCCTATTTTCCAAATAAGGTCACATTTACAGGTGCCCAGGGGTTTGGATGTCAACATATCTTTTGAAGCAACACAATTCAACCCTTATCAAGGCTATTCAGGAGCAGCAAGGAGGCCATGTGGTTTGAGTAGAGTGCATGGGTGGGAGGGGGCCAAGAAGCCAGGGCTGATTGATGTAGAACGCTGTAGGTAATGAAAGGCTGTGTATTTCAAGTGATCTCCCTCTAGCAGAGTGATACACATTTCTGTTTCAGAAGATTTTTTGTCTGCAGTGTGTAGAATAAACTGGAGTTCCTGAGCCAGTATATATATATATATATATACACATATATATATATATATATATATATATAAAAAGGAACAAAAGCCTTGCATAAAGGACTTCACACAAGAGTACCTCCTAATGGCCAATAAACATAAGAAGAGATGCACATCTTCATAGTAATCAGAGAAATGCCAATTAGAATCACAATGAAATATCACTACATACCTACTAGATTGATAAAAACTTAGTTCCACATCAGTCAGGACAGGTGTGATTAAGCTGCAGTAACAACTTCAATATCTCAATGGCCTCAAGCAATGAAGGTCTATTTCTTTTTTTTTTTTTGCTGGCTGGCTGGCTGGTACCGGGATCCAAACCCGTGATCTTGGTGTCATAAAGCTACATTCTAATCAACTGAGCTAACTGGTCAGCCCCTAAGCCAGTATTGAGACACATACTG